GAGTCAGAGCTGATTTGTCGGCACCTAGCAACAGCATCAAATCTTTAAGGAAGCATTCAGCCTCATAGTTCTACCACGGAGAGGCTGGTGGGTTCGAACCCAGGACCTTTCTGTTCGCAGCTGAATGCTTATCCACTGTGCCAGATACTCCTATGGGATGAACTGCTTAATCAGCGGAGCTGTTACTAGTATTCTGTGCCAAACATTAAGGCTGAATGTACGTCCTTAATTTCATCGTTAAAGGGGTAAGAAGGTGGAAAATTGCCCCAACCTCCCAGAGTTCAACACAAACCGCCTCCCACGGACAGCTCTCCAAAAAGCACCGGGACGAATTCTTCCACGGCTAATGGCTAAAATTGAACTACAACTCCCAGCAGCCATGCGCGGAAGAGTCCCTGAGAACAGAGGCCTACGGCCCCGGTGGCTCCTGGGAGTTGTAGTCCCACAATATGGCTGGACCCTGGGCCGGCCCTGGGAAGCACTCACCTGGAAATTGCCGACCACCGAAGTGCCCAAGGCACTGAGAAGCCCCGTCCACAGGATCAGCTGGTTAAACCACCGTTTGACTCCCCAGTCCCGGAGCTGGTGGTATCGCAGGATGCAGACCCAGGCGGCTGGGAGGAGAGGGATGTGGGCGGGAGACCAGAGCCCAGGACGGGAGGGGGCGGTTCCCGGATTCCGGAAAGGAGGGAGCCAGGGACCGGGAATTGCGGGTCTGGGGACCATGAGACAGGGGCTGGGGTTCCAGGCTGAGGGTGGAGGGGCTGGGGGGGCTGGGGTCCCGGGTCTAGGAGCTGGGGGGCTGGGGTCCCAGGGCTGAGGACTGAGTGGTTGGCTCTCAGGCTGAGGGCAGCAGGGGTGGGAGGCTGGAGTCCTGGGCTGAGAGCCAAGGGGCTGGGGTCCCGGGCTGAGGGCGGAAGGGCTGGGGTTCTGAGCTGGGCCAGCCCCGAGGGTCGGAGCCCGGGATGCTTACCTAGTGCAGCCCCTATATTGAGCACCTGGCTGAAGATGCAGCTTTGAGGTGGGTAAGTGCCGCAGAGGCTGCGGGAGATCAAGGGTGACTCGCGGCTCCTCGGAGCCAGGAGCCCGCTCATCCACCCCTCCCAACCGCCGCTCGGTAACTACCTGATGTAGGGGAAGCCTTTGGTGAGGTTCACAGAATTGTTGGCCACGGCAATGGCAAAACTGAGGCCGGAGAGACATCGGTGAGTAGGGGGCCCTCGGACGCAACTCTGCCTCCTGTTATCACCTTCAGGGACCCAGCAGCCAGGCCCCCCGGCCCTCCTCCCCTGGACCCGGGAGTCCTGACCTCCATCCTTCCTCCCTCACACCTGGGAATTCTGACCTCCAGCCTCTTCCCCGGGATCGGGGAGTCCTGACCTCCCAGCCCCTCAGCCCTCAGACCCAGGAGTCCTGACCCCAGGTTCCTAACTCCCTCACACCCGGGAATCCAGACCCTCAGCCCCTCCTTCCTTGGACCCGGGAGTCCTGAGCCCGGCCTCCTCCCCGGGACCCTGGCTCCCATCCTGCCACAGATGCTCACACAGTCCAGATGCCAGCGACAGCCCAGAGGGCCAGGAAAACCGGAAGGAGAGCCAGGTAGCCCCACATGCCCGGCCCTGTGGGGAAGGAGATGCGTTGGGCTGTGGCCCCAGGCCCCTCGCTCACAGGTGGCGGCTGCCGCTGCCCGCTGGCTCCCAGGGGCAGGGGCCAGTCGGCGGGCAACCCTCTGCGCCCTTCCCGGGGGTCTGACGTGGGCTGACGCTACCTGCCAGGCTCCTCGCTGTGCCCTGGCCTCCGCTCCCTCACAGTCTCTGAAGTTTCCTTCTGCCCCAGAGACCCTCCCAGCTCCCCACTCACCCGGCTTCTCCCCTCCGCCTTCCCAGCCTCCTAGGATGGGCTTGGCATGTGGGGTGGAGCTGGGGTTGCTGACTCCCACCAGACCAAAGTCCACCCCGGAGTCTGAGGTCGTGGCCAGGACCTCACCCCAAACCACCGCTCTGTCCTTAGGACCTAGGACCTTACCTTGTGGGAAAGGTTGGCTTCCTCCAACTTTCTGGGTTCAAAGTCCAAACTGCCAGCCCTGTCCTCCCGGGATCCAGAAATTCCAGCCTCCTGCTCCCTTCACCTTCCTGCAGGAGGCAGGCACCTGAGGCCCCAGCCCTCTCTCCCCTTGGGCACCCAGGCTCATGGCCCCGTCCTCCGTTCATCCCACAAGTTCAGACCCCCAGCACTCTCCAGGACCCAGGAACCTGGGCCCCCAGTTCCCCCTAGAATGTGTGCATTCCTGGCCCTCGAGGTCCACCCTCCCAGCGCTTACCTCCTCTGCAGCCAAGGACTCGGGCCCTCCGTCTGCTCCCACTTCTGGGGCTGGCTTCTGGCTTTATGCTCCTGGATGTCAGGCCGGCGGCCCCGCCCTCTTCCGCCTCCTTTCCCTCCCAGGGTCTCCTCTTCCACGAAATCGCTCAGGAGTTCCCCTCCAGGCAGGGTGTGGGTGGGAGGGAAGTCGTGGTGTGGACTTCTCCCTCCAAAAATCTTTCTCGACTGTCTGCTTCCTGCCCTGACCACCTCTCCTCTCTCTCCCACGTGGCTCACCGGCCCCTCCTCCCTCACCACCCCAACTCTAGTTTTTCTGAGAGAAAATTCCCATAAGCACCCCAGACACTACCGTCTGCGAGTCTGTGGTGTTTGTACTATGCACTGTTGTGCAACCTCATATCCTAGCGCTTCTCATCACCCCAAAGGAAGCTCTGCTGTGGTGGGGCTATCGCCCTGGTCCCTCCCCCAGCCCGGCCCTCGCCCATCGCTTCCGGTCTCACGTGTGTCAGTTTGTGTCTGGCCCTAATGTTTTAAAGTTCACCGGGTTGTAGATGGGCGAAGAACATTGAATGTGTCATCGGACCAGTAAAAGAAGGAACAAACCTGTCTTCACGAGAGGCAGCCGGAATGCCTCTTAGGACTAAGGGTGGTGAGGTTTTGGACGTGCTGTGTGGCGGAACCAGTGCCCGGAGACTGACATCACGCTTGGTAAGGTACAAACAGTCAGCAAAAAAGAGGAAGGGCCGTCCATGAGAAGGACTGACCCAGTGGCCGCGACACTGGGCTCAAACACAGCAACAGTTGTGAGCAGTGCAGGACTGGGCAGTGTTCCATTCTGTTTTGCATGACATTGAAACCCGCTCGACGGCACTGAACAACAACAGCAGCGTCCCTGTTGTGGCCTGTGCCAGTGCGGCATTCTTGTTCATGGCTGAGTAATATTTCACTGGCCTCCCCTCCCTCCTCTCTGGGGACTCAGTGCTCTGAGACCAGCTTTCGTTCGTGGGACAGGAGTCTAGTCTCCTGGGAACTAGGATTCTGGAGTCTCGGCTTCTTTGGGAGGAAAGATGAGAGAGCAAGAAAAAGACAAATACCACAGATGTTTCTGGAGGCCCTACTGCGTGCCTGGGGGTCCTCAAGTCAGTCAGGAGCTCTGGCCGCTCCTGAAGCTGGGTTCTCTACAGAAGCGAGCCCAGCGAAGCTCACACACATGGAGACACATACAGAGAGATTTCTCTCAAGGGAAGGGCTCGTGTTGGTCGTGGAGGCGGGCACGTGCCCAGTCTGTGGGCCACGTGGCAGCTGGAGTCTCCTGACTGAGCAGGGGCTGATGAACGTGATGTTGGCTGGTAGCGGGTGGCCGGCCACAGGCGGTGCAGGCAGCAGCCCCCGGCTCGGCAGGGGATGTGGCAGGTCTCTGGCTCCAGCCCAAAGAACCGGAGGTGAAAACCCCAGGACTGTGGCCCCTAGTCGCCCTTTGGGCCTGGCATTGAACTCACTCCCGTGGCTTCCATGCCAACAACAGACGGGCGTGAAGGGGCACGTTGACACCAGCGAGGTGCACCCCATTGGAGAACAAGCAGCCATGTGAGATGACAAGGACAGCATCTGCACAGGGAGACAGCCCAGAGGGCAGGGAGGCACAGCACGGAGGACGAAGAGAAGAGGTACCCACAGGGAGGAAGTGGGAAGAGGCCTGTTCCACGTGGGGCATTACAGTCAGTGTTGCGAAACAGAATGTGTATGAACTGCTGAGTGGAAAACGCATTTGCCCTGTAAACTTTCACCCAATTCGTTATGAAACGAATAAATAAAGGCCTGTGAGAAAGAAGTGGCACTGAGATGATAAACGAGGTGTGGGTGTGGGACGCAGATGCAGCAAGGGCCAGAGAGGTTGGCCAGAAACCGACGGCCTGCTCATAGCAGATCTCCTCCGGAGCTGATGGCGTGGTACGAGATCTCATCACTGGGCACGAGGACGTCGAAGCTGCCGAGAGAATGCTGGCCCAGCCAGGGTGACACACGCTAACCAGCACACATCCCTAACCTCCCGGGGTCCCCGGTCCATCCACTGAACACAGGCTGTTCTCATGGAGGGAGCCCTGCCCATGGGACCCCCACAAGCAGCGTTGGCTCACAGCAGTGGTGGCCAGTGTGGGGGGAGGAGGCTGGACGGTCGGGAATTGTCCCCGGTGAGCCCCGTGCAGGAGGACCTCTCTGCTGTCTGTCTGCTCCCGTCTGTCCCAGTGGCCACTGTCTGAGTTGACGGCTGAGGATGTACCTCCAGCATCCGTCCCTCCTTGATTCACTTAGGAAACACGTGTCCTTGTGGCTTCTGGTTACCAGGGCCCAGGCCACTCATTGGGCACCCAGACATGAGCCAACCCCAGCCCCTGTCATCGGGGCTCCCGGGCTCAGGGTGACAGTCACAATAGCAGGTGATCTGTGCTCCAGGGGAGGTGGTACAGCATGGAGGGGTCCAGAGGAGGGAGAGGGGGTGCTAGGTGCTGCCCCGTCAACCAGTGCCAGGGTGCCCCTGCCCCAAACTGCCTTTGCCTGGCTGATCCAGCCTCACCCAGCCCCCTCCTCCTTCCTCTTCCTCCTCCCACCACCTCCTCCTCTTCCTTTCCCCCTTCTTCCTTCTCCTCCTGCTCTTTCTTTTCTCCATCTTCTTCAAGTCACTCTCAGTTTAACAGACATTTGTAGGAGAGGGATGACAGTGGCGGCAGAGATGCCTGGGTGGCAGCTCTCCAGGCTGTGAGCAGCTCTGTTTCCCTAGTCATTTGCCTGCCTGAGGCGGGAAAAGTCCTGACATGTCAACAGAAACCACGCATGCAGCCATGGGGGCCATGGGCAATGTTCTGATTATTTTAGAAGTTGTTCCTAAAGATGGTAGCTGATGGTCAGATATGTGTGAGAGGTAGGACACGATCATAAACACAAGGCACTTAGGAAGAACAGCTTCCAAGGGGAAGTTCATTCCAGTGGCCGTTTCACGTTGCCTGTTGCCGCAGCGGCGGCTCACGCAGAGCCCACGCGGTGTTCCGTTCTGTCGCTCATGGGCACCCGGGGTCCCTACCAGTCGGAGCCAACTCTGTGGCACCTAAGTTGTTTTAGGGGAAAAGAGACCCCAGATTCAAGCAGGTGCAATACAGACACGTTTAATAAGCCTTCAACAGAACAAAGACAACCATCGAGGATGAGGGAAGCCATCCGCCTGACACGGCTGAACGGAGCTGGCCGAGTCATGGCCACGGCGCTAATTAGACAGGATTTAAAATCATCACAAAATTATGATTGGTGGTGGATCGATTCATCACCGTGCAGGCAGGACTACCAAAACAAAACAACTCACTGCCCGCCCTTCTGGAGTTTCCCAGGCAGTATCACTGCCAAAGTAGATTTCTCAACCTTCCTTCCAAGGAAGACTGATAACTTTATGGTTATCAGTCAAATGCCTTAGGCACTAGGCCACCAGAGCTCCTACAGAAGCTGGGAAAAGGTCTTGAGTGGAATTTGAAGATAAGAAAGGGTTTCAGGATTGCTTCTCTCGGCCTAGAGGTCTGAAGAGGGTGTGACTCATGACCCTGTAGCCTGAGTCTTAGCCTGAGGGTGGCTATGAAACAATACTTAAACCCCGACCTTAATTTAAATCAGAAAAGGACCCTCCCACGCTAATGCCCTAGTTCTTTGTGAGAGAAAAATCTACTTTGAACCACACTCTTCCTCGGGGCAAGCTGCCCCTCCCTGGGTTTGTCCTGGAGATTGGGCAGGACCACAATCCCGGTTCATGCTCAGAAAGAATGCAAATGGTGTCTGAAGCAGAAGTCAAGACTTAAAATGGAATTCAGGCTCCCACTGCAGACCACAGCCCTCCACAACCCCAAGTGCTTTAGAATTTAAGCTCTCACACGCAATATAATGTTCTTTACCACAACAAAACTGAAAGATGAGAATGAAAATACAGACGCTAAGTAAAGCATATATGTGGCCAGATAGTACAGAAATTAGCCCAAAGGGGAGTATTTAAGAGAGGAAGGTTGGAAAGCAGGGACTCTGCCGTAGGGACGTTGATTACAGCGCAGGAGAGCTTAAATTCTGAAGCACTCGGTTGTGGGAGGCCGTGGTCCGCAGGGGGAGCCCCAACTCCATTTTAAGTCTTGACATAAGTTTCAGAAGCGATTTGGGTTCTTTCTGACCATAAACCAGCCCCTGTGGTCCTGCCCAGACACCTTCAGGGACAAACTCAGGGAGGAGAGGTTGCCCTCAGGAACGGTGTGATTCACAGCAGT